TGGGTGCGGGGGTGGGGAGCTGAAAAAGTGGTAGAGTCTCAACAAATGCCTTTTGAATTATAGCTGGCAATAATCACAACCTTCTGGTTCCCTCCTCTGCAAGGCAATGGGGAGAAAGGTTTGGGGAGGAGGAAGGGGATTTAGCGAATGCTGGACTGGAGGGCCGTGGAGCAGGCAGAATGCTAGCCCTGCAGGAACCAAGGGGTGAGGGGGTGAGGGCTGGGGAGGGGTGCTGTGAGGAGCCAGCAGGGCCCAGCCTTGCCCAGAAACCTAGGACCAGCTCCCTGAGACTGCAGGGTCATTGCCAATTAGCTAAGTGGCTGTACTCAGCAGGCCTTTGGAATAGGAAAGGGCTGCGTTCTCCATCTTGTTGATGTGGAAACAGCAAGGGGAAGTGACTCAAAGGCGGAGTGGAAATAAAGTGTGTGTCTCGTGACATTCTGACTTCTGCTAGATCCAAAGGGCTGCACTTGACTGTCTCCTGGGAGGCCTCCTTCCACGGGCAGGCGCCTGTGGTGCTCTCGGGACAGGCAGGGGACTGTGCAGGAGCAGAGGAGAGGGAGGGGTGATCTGTGGAGGTGGGGCAGGTGCATGGTGGAATGCAGGACTTAGTGGAATGTCAGTTTAGATTTTTTTTTAAAGTAAGGCTTAAAGACCAGGCATGATGGCTCATACTTGTAATCCCAGCACTTTGGGAGGTTGAGGAGGAAGGATCACTTGAGGCCATGAGTTCAAGACCAGCCTGGGCAACATAGAGAGACCCTATCACTATAAAAAAAAAAAAACAACAAAATTTAACCAGGCGTGGTGGCATGTACCTGTAGTCCCAGCTGCTTGGGAGGCTGAGGCAGGAGGATCACCTAAGCCCAGGAGTTGGAGGCTGTAGTGAGCTATGATCACATCTCTGCATTCCAGCCTAAACAATAGAGAAAGACCCTATCTCTAAAAAAATAATAATAATTAAATTTAAGTTTAAAAATTAAAAAGTGGGTCTTAGTATTATATTTCCAATTCTTTCTTCTGCCATGGACACTTAAAAAATGAAAGTGCCAAGGAGTTTACAGAAGTAACCTCTGATCCTCCAGAAAATTCTGCAGGAGAAGTAATAATGGCCTCGTGCCCCAATGGAAGAAACTGAAGCCTGCAGAGAATCTCCAGATCACATAGTGGGTTCGTGGCAGAGACTTCAGGCGGCCATGTTGCCACACTCCAAAGTCCATTGTGAGTAATGGCCTAGTTGTATGGCTTGGCAGCCCCAAAGACAGCAATTTAAACCCAGGTTTGAATGAGTCAAATGTATGTGCCTTCTCTCTGACATCATACAGCCTTTCTGACCAATGGTCCCCTTTCCACACTCTCTCAAATCAGGAAGAGAACTTTTTTTTTTTTTTTTGAGGCAGAGTTCTGCTCTTTTTCCCCAGGCTGGAGTGCAGTGTCGCCATCTCGGCTCACTGCAACCTCTGCCTTCCGAGTTCAAGTGATTCTCCTGTCTCAGCCTCCCAAGTAGCTGGGATTACAGGCACATGCCACCACACTTGGCTAATTTTTGTAATTTTAGTAGAGGTGGGGTTTCACCATGTCAACCAGGCTGGTCTTGAACTCCTGACTTCAAGTAATCTGCCCGCCTTGGCCTCCCAAGGTGCTAGAATTAAAGTTGTGAGCCACTGTGCCTGGCCAGGAACAGAACTTTGAGTTCTCAAGACCATGCATTTTATGTTCGGGATGCCCAGCATCCCCTCTGGTGTCTACCTCTCCCAGAGGCTAAGCTGTTTATTGAATACAAAATGTGTAACATTACCCTACAGTGTCTTCAAGGGCAAGAGTTAAGTTTTCCTGCGATATTTGTTTCTGTAACCCTAGCATCTCCCCTGTGCCAGGTGCATAGTACTAGGTACAGTTACAACCTGGTGTATCTAGAAGGGAGTTAAATGTTGCTTCATTTCCCCCTCCTGCAGGCAGGTCGATGTCTCGCCATTCAGGAAAAACATAATTTATTTTCTTCCTGAAGATCTTAAGAACTCGGAGATTGTCCAGCCTCCCGTAGTACCCTTTGCAGATTTTGGCCCAGAAGTTCTTACAGCCAATCAGAACTTTTCCTGTTTAATTTGAGCCCATTTCCTTGTGTTTGTTATTCTTTGACTTTGACTTTGGCAGATTTGGGGGCCAGCAGGCAAACCAAAGCCCAGGATGGCTTGGAGCCAGGGTTTTCACTAGTGTCACAAAATGTAGTCACCTCTGATTCTGCTCCGAAGGTCTGGGGCAGACCAGGAAGCAGGGAGGACAGAGTGAATGCCAGGGCTTGGAGAGCCAGGAAGAAGGTCTGGAGAAAGGGGCAGGGCTTTTGGCTCATGAGTTGAGCATCAGAGGATTTTGTGATCATTAAAGGCCGGAGATAGACTGTTGATGAGGAATTCAAATAATACAGACAAAATTTGGAGGCATGAGCAAGTTCTGCTATCAAGAACAGGAGCTGGAGTCAGCAGGTGGTTCTCATCTCTTCCTAACTCAGCGTTCAGTGATGTGCATTGGTACCTGAAGGTCAGTTATGGTGGGAATTTTTATACCACAGAAATTGGCAAGTGTTGCAAAGCAGAATTTTTTTTCCCCTGGAGCACAGGCAGAAGGGGAGCAAGATACAGGGAATACAGGTCATCAGACAAGATTTTGGAAAAAAGACAAGTGAAAATAGTCATGATGATCAAGCCTTTCGCTGGTGTCCCACTTGGTCAGATACAATGAACTAACTCACGTTTTCTGACTTGATCCTCACCACCCTTCTGTAAGGAAAACAGGGTAGGCAGCATTACGCTACTTCATAGGGGAGGAAAATGAGGCTGTGAGAGGTTAAGGTACTTGCACAAGATTTTAAAGCCAGTCAGAAAATGACCTGGGACCAGGACACAGGCAAGATGAGTGCAAGGGAAGATGGCATGGAGTTGATACCTGTGTTCTCCTGAGATCCTCTGTCCCCCTGGGCCGTCCCATTTCAGTGCAGTTCTCTCTTCCACCCGCCTGCTGCCAGCTCTGCACCTCTGTGCCTGAGGATGTTCTCAACCCTCCCTTATGTAGAACTGGCTGGATGTGCTGGAACAATGACTCTAAGAATGGTGTATAAATACCCCAGATCCCTCCCTCTCTGGGTGGGGTACATTCTATCCTGGCCTAGAGTTCCCAGCATGGTTAAACTGCAGTTTCCCAAGTGATAACTCACTTGATCACTCTTTTGACCATTTTCTGCTCCCTGCCATCATTTCTCTGATGTTTCCTGGGGTTACCTCTCAAACGACTTCCCCTGGATTCCTATGCAGTGAAGAGGTATTCCAGGAGCCCGGAAGATTCCTCCAGGGGATCTGCAATACATCTTCACCACATAGCACAGTATTGGCACACAGGACATATCCAGCAGATGTTTGTTGGAAAATGGTACAGATACCTCTAGAATAGACAGATATTTCTAGAATATATACATCTTTTAGATAAGAATATATATATCTAAAAGCAGATGCATATTCTTCTCTCTGTAGGCCTTATGCTACATTTTGCTACCCCTGTGGACTCTGTGCTTGGTTCTGCCTATTGTCCTCCTGCCCCTGACCTGAAGGACGTGCCCAGCTCCTCTCATCCTTGCCTCTTTTTGCATCTTCATAAAACACATTCACTTTTTAAAAAAGGAATGGCTCTTTGAAGCAAATGGCTATCTAAATCTTTCTTTCCTAGCATCTAGTACAGTATAAATAAATAAATATAGGCTCTCATTCCACTTTTCAAATATGTGACTCCATGTTCGTATTTTCACGTTGCCAACTCCATCATTTTGCTCCCAACTAAATGATGGGTCAAAAAGGAATCCCCCTGCTAAAATCACAGTCTCTTCTTAGAAAGGGGATGTTTTTTGTTTAAGAAGGGGTTTCAGGATAAGAGCTAAGCTCATTCTAGAACAGTAGTTTCCAACTCAGGCCAAACATTGGAAAAATCCTGGGCAACAAATATGTCAGTGCTCAACCCAGACCAATTTTATGGCAGTCTCTGAGGACAGTGCTTGGTTTAGGGTTTCTGAAAGCTTCCCAGGGATTATATGGAGCCAATGCTGATGCCACCCATCCAGAGCTAGAACTTCCACTTCTTCTTTTGAGCATTCCCTGCTTTAGATCAGTAGGAGATAAACTCTCCTGAGTTGTGCTGGATCTAGAGGCCAGGACCAATGTTGCTGAGATTCCAGGTGAACTACACATTCCTAGGATTCTCATCGTCTATGTCTGTGTTAACCCAGGCTATAACTGGACTGGGTCTTCTAGGTGCCCTCCCTCCAACGTGCAGAATGCCCTTCCCTGCGGAGCTGCTGCACAGAGTGCTGTTCCTCTTGAATCCTTCTGCATGTGATGAGTGATGTTCTAAGTGCTGGGTTCCCGTCGGACAGAGGCCTCCCACCCTGAAAGTTCTTGCTGGCAGCTGAGGGTGGAGGTGGACGGCATCAGTTGACAGCTTGGCCCTCCACCTGGGCCCTTTCCTGACTTCTCCATTCCCGTTCCCTTGGGCCCTCCACCCCCGTTCTCCCATTCTGTTTCTTCTCGGCTTTTCCCCCGTCCCTGTTCCTCTCCTGCTATTTTCTACTGTCTCGCTCTTTGCTTTTTCTGCTCAGCTGTACCTTGGAACCAAGCTGTGACCGCCTCCTCTCACAGCTGCCTTTGCTAAGTGTGGGCCCCTTGCCTGGGCGCCAGTAGGGAGGGAGGAATGGGTCAGAGAGAAGGGCTTCCAGGAGACAGAGCCCAGGCATGAAAGCTCTACGTCTGGGTTTCATACCTGGATGCTTCTGAAACTTGCCCCTTCCCGCTGCAGCTTTCCCAGCCTAGAGAACCAGGTGCCTTGCAGGGGAGCTTTTGCGAGTATGGAATATATAGCATTTGTGTCGGTCTTGGAGCTCGATGGGTGCTGTTCCTGGTGTACAAGGTGTGTGGGCCTGTGCGGGCTCTTTCAGGGCTGACCCTCTGTTGTCTCTGCAGGACTGCGATGCACCGGTCTTAGCTGCTGTCTGAGAGGATGTCTGGGGTGTCCGAGCCCCTGAGTCGAGTAAAATTGGGCACATTACGCCGGCCCGAAGGCCCCGCAGAGCCCATGGTGGTGGTACCAGTAGATGTGGAAAAGGAAGACGTGCGTATCCTCAAGGTCTGCTTCTATAGCAACAGCTTCAATCCCGGGAAGAATTTCAAACTGGTCAAATGCACTGTCCAGACGGAGATCCGGGTAAGTGTGAAGGCGTCTGCTCTGTCCATCTGTCTGTCCGTCTGTCTTCTTCCTGGGCAGCTGAGCAGCTCTCCTGCAGCCTCATGGATCTCCCATATCCACCCCTGGGTGGAAGAGGTGAGGTGGCATCAGAGAGATGTGCCCAGCCTGCATCACCATGCCTTCTCTCCAGGGATCTGCATACTGCTTCTCGAGGAACCTGGGAAAGACGTATTGTGGTCTTTGTTTGAACCCCAGACCATTTTTTTTTTTTTTTGGCCTCTGATTCAATTCATTTCAACTTACCAAGTACTTATGAGACTTGAAGCTCTGTGAAGGACTTAAAAGCTCCTATCCTCAAAGAATTTACACTCTGGTGAAATAGAAATTAGAGATACACAAGTAGTTGCATGAAAAATAGAACAAAACTGGTCTAAGACTTGTGTGCTGAGCATGTGGAAGAAGGCGTTCATGGGTGCTTAGAGGATGATAATGAAGTAGAGACGCTTTGGGCCAGGTGAAGGGTTGATGAGCCCTACCTGGTAACACATCCCTTTGCTCACTCCTGCCCAGAATCACAACATCTGTTTTGCAGGTCCAGGTACCCACCTTCATCAGGACACCTGGACCTCAGGACACTAGTTCGCCTTAACCAAATGTATGTGAAATGCTCATCATAAGCAGAGTTCCACCATGCTGAACTAATCTCAGTCACCTACATTTACTGAACAATTACTGTGTGGAGCCTGGGCCAATCCCTGTACACACATTATTCTATGAAATCTTCCCAGCATCCCCGTGAGTAGATACACTGAGGACATACCTTGCCTCTGCCCATAGCACCCCTTTCTGATGATGGGAGGGAAAGCCAGATTGGTTCTCAGAAGGTTGCTTAGTTGGTAATTTGAACAAAGGAAGCAGGAACTTTCCGGAAAGCTAATCAGGTCTGAGGACATGGGATGAGCTGTCTCCAGCTCATGGCCAACACTTCCCATGTCCTGAAAGCCAGTGTCCCCAGACTCCTTGAATTTCTCCTTTGGTTAGTGCTGCTGCACCCTGGCCTCAACATCCGGGCTGCCTTCTGTCTGCTATAGTTCATGCTGCTCTTCCACAACCAGAGCACAGTGTAATTGATTAGGTCACTGTCAGGGCCAGTTATCAACATTGATTATGGTTTGATTGGCTCTCTCTGTTTCCTGTAACTGATTTAATTAGGGCCTTGTTTGCTCATCTTATGATTTCTGACATAGAGGCACAACTGTGTCCTGGGAGTAAGCCCTGGTCATCTTCCTCCAGGAGGACATTTTTCTATACCTTTATCCACTTCATGAGTCTTCCTTTGGGTATATAATTGCAAAAATCTGATGCCATCCACTGTGAATGTTACTAGTTTAATTTTCAGAAGTTAACCTGATTTCCAAGTTTAGAGAAGAGCACCTCATTGTTCTTTTGTGCTGAAAAACAGAGAGCAGCTGGTTGGTTCAGATTAGGACATGCTTCATGGAGTCAGCAGTGAAAAGGGTCCTGAAAAAGAGGTAGGATTTAAAGCAGTGACACTGGGGACAGGAGGAGGCTTTCCAAGAGGATGGAACAGCATGAAGAAAGACAGGGAAGCCTCTTAATAGTAAGTAGTTCAGTTTGACTGGAGTATGGATTATATTTAGAAAAATATCTAAAGCCAAGATCAAAAAGTAAAGTTGACAGCAGAGAATGAAGGTCCTACAATATCAGGCACAGAAATTTGGGACTGGGCAGGCATCGGGGAATAACACATATTTTTAAGCAGGGGCAAGATGTTTCTGTAGTTGTATGATAGCCTGCTGGATGTTTAAGGGGTGAAAGTACACCATAGGCCTATGGAAAAAGCAATGAGACCCAGGCTTAAGAAGAATGGCTTGACGCAGTATCTGGGGTTAGGGGAGCAGAGGTGGAGAACAGAAGTGATTGACTTCTAGGAATATGTCCAAGCCTTTTGATTTTTCCTGCTCCCAATGTCCCTGCAGGCAAAATGTCGCCTGTTTATTGCAAACAGCTGTAGCCTTAAAGCCACCTAGACTTCTTGCCAAGTCCTGCTCCATCCTTACTGGTTGTGTGGCCTGGGACCTGATGCTTAACTGATCTGGGTGTCCATCTCCTCACGCAGATGTCATGCTCACCTCCTCACCCAGGGATCATCATGCCGTAAGGATTGGAGGTGATGGGTGAGAAGCACAAAGCACGTAGCAGCACCCACAACTGGAGGCTGTTGATTATGTGGGTATTAGGTTATTACCCAGCTCAGGAATCTCCAAGTGTTTCTAACTGCCCAGAGCATAAAGTGCGAATTGTCATCTTTTGGTGTCTATCCAGGTATCTGTCTTATTTTCAAATAAAGTAGTAAGATGATCAGATTTGCGTTTTAAAACAGCAAGATGGTGTTCTGCAAGATGTTAACAAGTATGCCCTCAGGAAGGGAATGTGTGGTCAGAAAGATTGGGAAATGCTTGGTTAAACAGTTCTGAACAGATTGTTTTGCAGCAAGAGTTCTCAGAACCTTAAATAGGCTGATATACCTGGTCAGTCACTGAGAGGGGCCACAGAGGTGATATTTTCTTAAATAAACAATTTATTTGCCTACAGAAATCCTTCTTTCAGAAGCTATACCACTAGATCTCTGGACAATCATTTAGGGAATTTTTTTCCCCTAAACTCTGACAGCAGAGAAAAAAGGATTGGAGGGAAAAAAAGACCGGTGAATGGGAGATGGGTTAGGAGTCTGTGGTCGCATCGCAAGAGGGAAATAATGAGGACCTGGACTAATGGAGTGACAATGGAAATAGAGAGAAGTCAACAGAATTGAGTCCATCAAGGAGGCAGAGTCAATAGAATTTGATGATTAGATATATGGAGGAAAAGAAAGGAAGGAGAGAAAAATGACTGAGGCTTTTCCTGGACGACTAAATGGGTGTTGGTACTATTCATTGAGAACCAAATAGAAAGGGAAGGTGTTCTGAGATTTCATTTACACGCCTTATGTTTAAAGTGTTTATGAAACACCCCCATGGAGGAACATGGGTCTGGACCTCAGCAGGGAGAAAGAATCTAGAGACGAGATTTGGGTGTCATGCAATGGATGCCATGCAAATGGGTAGAATCACCCAGAAGGAATGAGTAGAATAGAACGAAAAAAGATCCAGGTAGGAAACCTGAGGAAATTGACTTCTAAAAAGCTGATACAGAAAGAGCAGCAAATGAAGGGAAAAACAAGAGTCAGTCAAAAAAGGAGCAAGAGAACTAGGAGAATAGAGTGTGGGGAGCTCAAGGCAGAGGGGGCTTTAAGGAAAATAGTGGCTTGCTATGTTAGATGCTCAGAAAGGACAGCAAATAAGGTTAGAAATAAGTGTATGGCTTTAGCAGCAGGTGCCATGAATAATCTTCGTTTGGACAATTTTAGTGCAGAGATGGGGCAGAACACTTAAGAGAGGTTTTGACCAAGAAGGAAAAGAAAAAAGGGAAGGCTAAAGGAACAGTGTTCACTGCGGAGGGAACGGTATATATCAAGGTCCTGAAGTGGGAAGGCACATAGCAGGTTTGAGACTAAGAATTGTTGAAGTTGGGTTATTTAAACCATGTTAACCATTTTGGTTGTTATTCCATCTCTTGTGGGAAGCCACTGATATAATTTAAACTTATGAATGACATGAGATCATGCTTTTTAAAGATCGCTTGGGTTACGTAATGGAAAATGCATTGAAGGAAGGCAGGAGTGGATGTGGGGAAATGTGAGGTGGCTATTACAGTGAATCAAATGAGAGGTGACAGTAGCTTAAATTAAGACTATAGCCATAGAGAGAGTGATGGTGATGGTGACTGATGATGGTGATGGTGGTAGTGGTCATGGCAGCCAGCACATTGGAAAGCAGTAATATGAATTATCTTATTAACTTCTCGAAAAAACCCAATAAAGCACAAACTGTTATTATTTCCACTTTATATATAAGGAAACTAAGCAGAAGATTTAAGCAAATTGCAAGTAAGGGGTGAAGCTTTCTTTTAAACCTAGGCAATGTACTTCCAAAACCTGCACTCTTAACCACTGCGATCAATGGAGAGAAGTGATTATAATCCATAGAACTGAGGAGATGGAAATGAAAGGCTTTTGTAATAACAGGAGATTCAGGAATGAGGAAGAGGGAGGTGTGAAGAATGGCATCCCTGGTCTGGGTGGTCAGGGTCTCATTCCCTAAGATGAAAAACACTGGAGGAGAAATCCACTGGGGAGTGGGGAGTTCGCAAGCTCAGTTTTGGACCTCTGGAGGACAACTGAGACACATTAAGATCTTCACATGGAAATGCTGAGTAGATCCTTGGATTCATAATTCTGGAGGAAGAAACCAGTTTGGTCATAGACATTTGAGTGAGGTCAGTCCAACCATCTGGTGGTTGAAGCCATGGCTGCGAATGAGATCATTTGGGAGAGGGTTCTGAATGACTCCATCATCCACCCCACAGATGTTTATTGGGTCCTCCCAAGTGTCTGGCACCATGCTGGCATAGCCTAGGGTGTTAGTATATCCCAAAACACAGGTGCTCCCTGCTTTCATAGGGCTTCCTGGTCAAGAGTGAGACTGACATGGACTCACACTAATGAATGAACCTTCACAATTTGAGGCACATGCTGCTACAGGAAAACATGGATCTTATGAGAACAGGTCACCATCATCATCTTTGTGACTACAACCTCAATTTAAGCCACTGTCATCTTTCATTTGATTCACTGTAATAGCCACATAACATCTCCCCACATCCATTCTTGCCTTTCTCCAATGTGTTTTCTATTAAGTCTCCCAAGTTATCTTTAAAAAGCACAATCTCATGTCACTCGTACGTTGTAGGAGTGGGGCTGGGTTTGCATGCAGAGGAACAGCTTTGCTATAGAGTGCCTGTGTGGGGATGCAGGGTCCAGGGTGTCCAGGTGGGACTCCAAGCCCACCTTCCTTGCCTGGGACCCTCCTGGAGCAGCCCCTCCTCTCTGCCTCCTC